TGTTTACCTTGTGTGTTCTGTGCATCACTGCTGTTTTACTGTAGTAGTATTTTGTTTTTCTTCACTACTGGCTGCAGGTACAAAGAAGCATTTCACTGTGCATTGTACTATGTATAAATGTATAACTGTGCATGTGACAAATAAAAAATCTCTTATCACTTTTTGTTTTTGCTCAGGCTATAAGACTTTAGTGAAAAAGCACAAGAGAATCAGTCAATGAAGCATCGGCTTTGCAATTTAATTTGAAGTCAATTACGGTTGCCTCGTTCCTTTAAAACACATCATTAGATGTATCATTAGTAGCATATTAGGATGCCAGATAACAGCAGTGTGTCCGTCCCACAGGTGGGTGCTGTTGTGGAGGTGAAGAATCAGGACGGCGTCTACCAGGAGGCCACAATCAATAAGTTGACTGATGCTAGTATATATACTGTTGGTAAGTCAATAACAAAGCTGCCTTATAGAAACATGTTTGTGTACTTTGGAAATTCCAGTGGGTTTTCAGGCTGTGAGTTTTCCCTTCCCCAAGCTGTGCGTTTAAAGTTAAGAACAAGTCGATTCCCAACAAAAGTCAGAGAATTAGGTGATTTCTCACATCGTATGACCAAACTGCACACACGTTATATTGCAATGTAAATATATTCCAAAACATTGTCCAGTCCGAAGCAACTAATGACAGAGTACACACTTACAGTACAGAGTATCGACTGCTGCTCAGATCTGTAGTCGCTCTGCAGTCGCTCGTCACTTAAGAGTACCCCTGGGGTTTTCTGTGTCTCGAAACTCTCTGTATCTTGGCACCATTTCATTCTTTTCATTCATCAGTGAGAAAACAAAAACACGAGTAATGAACAACAACTAATGGAATTTAAGGATTTAAACATCTGGGTTTATCTGTGAGGCTGACGAGGATGTTCAAAGTGAAAAGAAGATTCCTTGAGTTCTTTTAATATGATTTACATACATTTGAAATCAGTTAATATATCTGTTTATTTCCACCGTTTGCTCCAATCTCTGTCTGACAAACTCTAATAGTCACTGCCTGCTGGATGATCTATTTAAGCCTCTAAAGACGAACATAATTTGTTTTTACACATCACAAGTGAAGCAGACATTTTGTAACTGAGACGGGAGTTTATTTGTGTTGTGTGTGTGTTGTGTGTGTTGTTCGACTCCTGGCCTACATGGAGCAGCCTAACAGTCTGACTCTCATCTCCGCAGTGTTTGACGATGGCGACGAGAAGACCCTGAGGCGTTCCTCTCTCTGCCTGAAAGGAGCGCGTCACTTTGCAGAGAGCGAGGCGAGTACTGTGCTGCCCTGCAGTTTTATACCGGCCTCATCTCTCCGCTTCCTCAGCCAAAAGCTCATTTCATAGTTTTTATTTTCTTTTTAAATGTTGTTTCATTTAATCGCCAGCAATCTCACGTCTCTGCTCGCAGTGTTTAAATTAAAACTCTGCTCAAGGCATTTGCAGCTGTGAAATATTTCCAGGCAAATCTTTTTGTCTCCGTGTTTATTGTCGGAGAAGGCGGCGCTGAGCCTCTTTGCTGATGTTTGTCTCCTCTGCAGACACTCGACAGACTCCCTCTCACCAACCCCGAACACTTCGGCACACCTGTCATCGGCAAGAAGGGCAACCGCGGCCGACGATCAAATCCGATGTAAGTATCGTCCTCCGCCGCTGTACGTCCTACAGCGAATCGAACTTAATATATCAGACGTCTGTGATGCTGCTGGGGAGGGATTTTCTGTACCGATCCACAGTCATCAGCAACAGGCTCCCCCGTTCTGAGGCTGCTGACAGCAGTTGAAGTGAAAGATTTACTCTCATCTCCATCCTCTCATAAAGAGCCCCTGAGGCCTGGAAGAGGAGAGCCTACTCGCCTCCTCCAGCTCCTTAATCAAGCCGGGCTCCTCTGCGTGCGAGCTGGAGAGGCAGTCTGAGCACCGGCATTGGTCTGCTGAATATTTTTACACTCCTTTGTCTCAAATGTTTCAGTGGGTGTGTTATGCTCTGATGTGCCTACTCCTGGGAGACTGCAGAGTTTTCATCAGGGAATAGGAACTGCTGAGGGCTTTCTGGCGCTGGATATAATTGTGGCTCCTCTCTGTTAGAAAGAGGACACACTCTGCTACCAAATCTCATTTTCTGACACCCTTTGCTAATGGCAGTGAGAGAAAAGTCAATATTACTCTAAACATTGATGCAATATTGACTTGGAACGGTTCCAGCTGCACATTAGCACCTTAGACCTTCCCGTGCACTAACAGTGTCTTAAATCTTGAGTTACAAGCTTTGACAATTCAGCTGCATCGCTTGTTTTCACAGACGGTGTCATTTCCTCTTCTGTCAATGGAGTAGTTTGACATTTCGGGATGTCATGCGCTTATTTGCTTGCTTAATATTGATACCTCTCTCTGGGCTTGATATGAAACTAGAGCCAGAATAAAGACTGGAAACAGGGTTAACAGTCCAAAGGTAAAGAAATCCACTGACCATCGATGTGTCTTCTTTGTTCAGGTGTGAGCCTTCCAGGGAACCAGCAGAAAGTTACTCCGGGGAGTCACTGCTCCCGGCCAAGAAGTAGTCTGGCGGATAACCACCAGTTGAACCACACTGTGCCGTGTTACTCTAGGATTGTGTTACCTCTGGACAGAGTCAGGCTTACCGTTTCCTCTTGTTTCCGAACGAGAATAAGCGTATTTCCCCAAATTTCCAAACTCACTTTCCTTCAATTTACTGTCTTAAAAAGAAGGAACAATTTCCAGCTTCCAGCTAGCTCATTACTAGTCTGTAGTCAAACTCTTTCCTACATGAATTTTACAGTCTCTCGTTCATTGAGCTAGTTACCGAGTGCTTTGATTTCACAGCATACTTGTGTCGTTGCTTTTGTACGTAGCAGCTGCTGATTTAGCTGCTGCTTGAGTTGTGCCAGACAGTGTGTGGTGTCGCGTGCTGTGTGTGTTGTGGCTGCTGTGCTGTCTGTATGTACATGGAGTTGTGATCAGAGCAGACCTAGTGAGGCATAAAACGAGGACGGAGGATCTGTTTGCCTGCTGGTACTTCTCGCATGATCACTCAAGAGACGTGGCTGCCTGTGTGCTGCAGTCAGGACGTCATCCCGAGCATCAGTATGACTGTCAGACAGCAGAGAACGAGCCGGCTCGTCAATACACTGATCCTAATGAGTGAGCTCATCAGTACAGCGGGCCCTGTGTTTCGCTGTGCTACATAATAAACACCAGAAAGTTTGTGGAGGGTTTTGTTGTGCTGTGGATTGTTAGTCGGAGACTCTTTGATGTTTTCTAGCTGAACAGCAGTTAAATGAAAAGATGATTGGTTAGCAGAAACGCTCTGCCTGGCTGAGAGAGAGAGACCAGCGCACGCTATTTTATGTCCCTAACCCGTTTATATTATATATAGCATGGATTTAATGTGAAATGCCAATATCTATGAGCGCCCAGAATCTTGTTCACCTTTTCTACAGCAGTGCTACACTGACATTTGTTTTGTCCCTGTTGTTGGAGAATATATTTTAATGACATCCATCCAACTATGAACTATGAGTCACTTGGCTTCATACATTATTCTGAAACAGAAGTTGTAAATGTGTTTTTCTAAGGCTGCAACTAGCAGATCTCAATTTTCTAAAGCCCAAAGGTGATTTTAAATCACATTAAAACAAAGAAATGCAGCAAATCCTCACAGTTGAAAAGCTGTAATTAGAGAATGGTTGTCACTTTTGCTTAAAAAAATTACTAAGCAATTGAAAATAGACTTTGTTCAGCTCTATTTTATATTTTCTAGTTTGCTGTTTTAAGTTCAACTGAACTTACCAGATGTAACAAATGTAAAATAAACATCTCACTGCACCTTTCGGACATTCAGTCTGTAAACTCTCCTTTTTCTCCCACAGTCAAGAAGAAGAGTTGTCTTCATCCTCCAGTGAAGAAGAGGAGAGCGATCAGCGGCAGAATGAGGATCTGTTCGGCAAGGTGGTGTGTGTGGAGGGGGTCACCACCGGGGACAAAAAGAAGACCACGTGGTACCCTGCTCTGGTGAGCTCATCGCCTCTCCTCCGTCACTGTGAACAAACCGTGCTGCTGGTCTCGGTACACTCACAGCATTGTGTCATTTCATCCAAACGCCCGCTTGTGTAACCTCAGCAGGATTATCTTATTGCGTTAGCATTCACCCACCATGAAATGTAGGACATGTGTGCAGTTAGCTGATTTCTATAAATAACCAAACTTCTCACAGCAGCTGCCTGACTGCTGCAGTTTGAAGAATTTCATGAGGCAAAACTCTTATTTTGGAGGGAAAAGATACGACTTGTTCACCGGCTTGATGTTTTCAGTCGTTTTCCAGCCAGTTTCTTTCCACCCACCTTTAACTCTCAACCACCGTTAGCGTGCAGTGTAATGGTGACAGGCGTTGTTTGTTTACGTAAGTGTTACAAGTAGAAGTTGGAGGACGGCAGAGGGTGGGGGAAAGCTGTCCCTTTAAATGTGAAGTCAGCAGCGCCCCGCCTCCAGCGTTTGTTGTTCTTGGCTTGCTGTCGACTGAGCTCCATGCCGCCTCCTTGTGACAGCCCAGAGAAGTACATCACACAGTGGCTTGTCATTGTTTACACTGTGAGCGTATGGCAGAGGGGTGGAGTAGTACACTGGTCGATGTCTCATGCAACAGATGATGCATTACTGTAACAAGCTGTGTGCTCTGAACTGGCCTGGTAGAATAAAAGTCAAATGAAACAGGACGCCGTGTTTGAGCTGGACACTGCGCACATTTGCAGAGCAGCATATGTGTCGACAAGGGAAACGGTATCTCAGAGCAAACATGAGTCATGTTCAAGTTAAAGCATCCACCCTGCAAGTGTGTGTGTGTGTGATGTTATACAGAGAGAGCAGGAACAGAGTCCTGGTGGAAATCAAATCTCAGTGCTGCCTCCTCTAGGTCAGACCCCGGCACTGAAACAACTCCCACTGCTGTGCTCCTCAACTCCAGCACACAGCATCGCTCCTCTCTACTCTCGCTTCTTTGTTTCATAGACAGCACATTTTGCAATCCATCAGTGTGGCCTTTTGCTGAAACTACTTTAGTCGTTGACTCGTACTCTGACACTTTACTGTCTCTCTTCCTCTCCTCTCACACACACAAACAACACACACACACACACACACACACACACACACACACACACGCGGTACCACTTTGTCTGACCTCTTGACTGTCTCTTGTTTCTGTGCAACAAGGTTATCTCTCCAGACTGCCACGAAGACGTGACGATGAAGAAGGACAACATCTTCGTCCGATCTTTCAAGGATGGAAAATTGTGAGTCATCACTAATGTGCCCGAAAACCTCATTTGCACCACGTGTCAACTAGTGCTCCGCTAATTATCATCAGTAGATAATAACTGACATTTTCATTGTCAATTAATACATGAATTATGTTTTCAACTAAAGCAAAACAGCTAGGAGATATTTAATTCCCCTAAAGTGAAAACCAAGCAATCTTTGAGAAGCTGTGATAAACAAATGATTTTCGCTTGATAAGTTATCTCAAATGTTCAGTTAATCAGCTAATCTAGTGCTAGTTTAGAACATCCCCATAAGGAGTCTTTGAATAAGTCTTTTAATGGGATATATTTGCAAATATTTCAGATAATATTGGTACTTTCTGGTGATTTTTCTTTCCTTTTTTAATATGTTTTTATTAAATATTTATTGTAATGCGGTTTGAACTTCCTACTCATGACAAATCTCCACCTTATCTTTCAATTTGAAGGAGGTCTGACACATGACATTTCTATCTCTTGACTAATTAATTGTGTCACAAAAAGGACTCAAAATGTCAGTGACGCATCGTTTGTAGCTTTAGAAGGATACAACCTCAGATGTTGTGATCTCTTAACAAGAGTTGAGACTCTGTGCCTTCCCTGGCAGCGCTGGGTTGTGTTATTTTATTTGTCCTAAGGCTGTAAGTTACTGTTGCGCTAAGGTAGTGTAGCTTCCCTGCAGCCTGCCCTCGGCGTGAAAACCACACAGCCAGATTGTTTTGTCTGTGGCAAAGAGAGGAATAAGTCCTGACAGGGGTCTGCACTCAGCTGGTGGTTTGTTACTGCAGTCTTTCCCACACTCGACATAAATTATTGTTCCAGTGTCGACTTTTCTGTCCGTTTGAATTCCACCGATGACAGAACAGTGTCGTATCTGCATTCCTTAATGGATACCCGGCGTAACTCATCAGCATGACCCTTAATCTGCAGCAAAAGAAGCGTGAAAAGTCCTTTTTATGGCTTGTGTTTTGGGTAATGGTCAGGTGAAGGGTAGAGGTGATGAGAGGGATAAGATAAGGGATGATAAATGGGAGAAGAACTGGAAGTCATACGCTTGTGAAGTATTTCCTGTCTGTGCTCTGATGGCTTTTTGTTACAAATTGTATTGCTCTGTAGCAGCTTTCCTTTCTGTTCTGTGGCAATTTGATTTCACTCATTGAAATCAGCGTAGTGTATCCAGGGCTGGGTGCAAGAAGTAATAATAATACAAAAAGTCGGAAAATCTATGTAATTGTTAATGAGATTTTCAGGTTTGTTTTCCTCCGATTGTTTTGCTTTTATGTGGATAGACTAACAATGACAAAGTGTCAAATCATTTCTGCTACACGTGTGTGATGCATCCGTCTGATCCACCAGGTATGCCTCTTCTATATTATGTTAGTTTGGTCTGTTGCAGGGTTTGAAGGTAGTTAATACATTTTCTAGAACAGAACAAAGCTTTTTAACAGAGTTTACCGTATATACTCAACTTTGTTTATATATTATATATAT